TATATATATATATATATATATATATCGGTCGAAATACATAGATTTTAAAAATTATAAAACATATAATCGAATTGAAATATGACAAATTGAACCAAAACATTTATTTTGGTCAATTGTTATTGTTGTGCAATCCGACAGTTATTAATGTACATTTCTTTTTATAGTATAGTGCATGATTTCTGTCGTTATTGTGTCGTCTGAAAAAATAGAAATTTAGTCCCAAACCAAATTGAAAAGGAACTGAATTGCTTGATTTATTTGGTTGGCTAAGAGGATTTCCCTAATTAAAAAAATGTATTATTTATTTCAAAAATTCATTTAGTATTTTAATAATTTAATTTAACATTTTAATACTATAATTGATTGAAAAGCATATTATACAAAATACCAAACTCGATAATTTACACTATCATATACCCAAATGTGCATTTAGTCTATCATCAATGTGCATTAAGTGACTAGTTTCATTTATCTTTTTTTTTTTTTTTTGGTGCATTTCAACATTAGAAATCTTTAATAAAGTATATATTAATTAACAATATTGTCCATTTATCAAATTATTTGAATAAGAAAAATATATGTAGCGTTTACAATTATTTTATATTATTTTTTTATTGAAAATCAAATAATATATGTATATTTAAAATGTAAATAATATTTTTTATATGTTATGATTGGTTTCGTTATTTCATTTATTTATTTATTTATTTTGTATATAAGGTGAAAATTGGAACGAAATAATCTACATTCTAATATTTTGTGCATAAAATAAATTGTTATGCTAACGTGCAGTCTCGAACGCTCTAATATGCACTTGGTCTAATGTTATAGTGCATCTTGATAGTCAATTACGTGCATAATATTTCTAAATATTGTGCATTTAGCCTGTATTCTTTTTTGTGCAAATTCAAACTAAAATTGAATTATAAATACTTGAATTAATCGTTTGATTAATCAAACCAACTTAAATAATTAAAATAGATTATTATTATTATTATTGTTATAAAAATAAATTTTAGTATTTTATTAATTTCGTTTATTGTTTTTTTCTTTTTTAGTAAAAGATATTAATAATATAACATATATAATATAAGTATAATAGAATATAAAAAAATCATAATTTTTATATATTTTTTTTTATAAATTACAGATTTGCCCCATGGGCTAAATTGAAATATAACAAAATATCTTCAAATTGCAATTGAACCCCTAATAATTATCAAATTATTAACAAGCAGCCCCTAGTCCCAAAAAAAATTCACATCTGTGATGCCATTTCGGCCGCCGTCGTGTGAACCGCCCGGACAAGATGACGTGCCTCCGCAAAGACGACCTTCTCCAGCCAGTGTTGCTGGAAGAGACAACCTTTTCGACGTCGGAATCGAGCCGTAGTGCTGGCGAACGAAAAGAAAAGGCGGCAGCCGGAGGTGTTCACTTGCGACAAGAAGCGGACCTGAGCTGCGCAGGTCATGGCGGTCAGAGAGACGATGTCGGGTTCTGTAGCGACGGAGAGGGTGAAACGTTCAGCCTATGGAATGTGGCGACGGTCGTCCTGTTCGTGCTTGTCTAGCATCAGGCTCCGGCGACTGTGTTTCAGCGGGCTCATGTCGTTTCAGCGGGCTTCGACGGCGACGACGTTTATGCGGGCAGTGGGCTCCGGCGACCAGCAGTGGCGTGCTGCGGCGGCGATGGCTTGGCTGGGCGGCAGCCGGCGATGACTGGAAATGTGTGTGTATGTGTGTAGTGTGTGTGTGTGTGTGTCGTGTATATACAGTGTGTGTGTCGTGTTTATCAATTCTGTGTATGTATTGTGTGTGTATGTCTGTTGAAGTGTGTGTGCGTGTGCTGTGTGAGTGCATGTGTGGCGTGTGTTGTGGGTGTGAGGTGTTGATGTGTCATGGGACCCACTGATTAGTTGGATAGGTGGATGATATTTGTAATGTCTAAAATGCCCTTAACGAGTGTAATATTTTGGTTGTTTTTAGTCATTAGATTATCCGATCTAATGGGTACTATTTATTGTTATTTCTTTCATTGAGCACTATTCTCGCTGGAGCGCGACCACATATATATATACACTTAAATTCTCGTTAGAATAATACAAATTACCAGGCTTGGTATCAGTTCGGCAACAGAACCGACAAGCCCTTACTGATACCGAACCGATGGTTTCTTATCAATAAAATGCAAAACTGGATCTGAACGGATTTTTATTCCGGTAACTAACTTTTAGTTACCGGAAACTCGGTTTGGTTTTGATATTGTACCGAAAAATCCGAACAAAAAAAAGGCCATGTTCATTCATCAACTAAAAAAGTCAAACTCCACCATAAGGAGTCGATTTATGGCAATGTACATGAGACATGAGCTAAATGTGATGGACCTAGGCTTAAGATATATAGAAGTTTTCACTCTATAAAGATTTTCGGTTCTATTTGGTAAAAAAACGAAACATATATTTTCAATTTCAAAGTCGAACCGAAATGATTTCATTTACCAATTTTGGAAACCGAAAAAATTGATTCGGATTTCTTCGTGTCGGTTCGGTTCTTTTTCATTTTCGGTAAAAAAATGCTACCCCTACAAGATCCTCCCTATATATAATTCCAGAATGCGCTGAGCC